GGAACCTCGTCGCCGGTGCGACGTGGAGCTGAAGATACCGGCTTGCCTTGCATCAGTACGCAAAGTGTACCAAGTATTCGGTCGGTCTGTTGTCGCAGCTGCGGTAAATGCAGCCTTTCGGCGGCACGGCACCGACCTCAAGAATGATCTCGTGAGAGATCGGCTGATCCGGGAGCACCACACCGAAAGATGTCGGTGAACTCGTCAAGCAACCGCACCACACCGAAAGATGTCGGTGAACTCGGCAAGCAGCCGCACCACACAGGGGTCCGAAGACAAGGCCGTGGGGGAAGAATTGACTTGGCCGTCACCACTTAGCACCGGATCGAAGGGTGCGGAAAAGGAATATTACACGGTACTTCGGCGTCGAAAGCGTCCCGAACGGTAAGAGTCCGCCGGTGGAAGTTTGACCGTGTGATCCACACTTGCAAGCCAAGGCATTCCCAAAATAATGTCGAAGTCCGTGTCCAATATGTCGAACGCCACCGGTTTGCATGCATGAGGTGCGAAATACACTGGTGCGGCCTCGAAGTAACGGTCGATATGTTGTTGCGTCCTTCTGTCCGCCAACTTGATCGCCGTCGGGTTTGCCTTCCTCCGAACTTGTGCGCCAAGGCCAGCCCTTTGCATAAAGGCTTGGCTCATGAAATTGCGAGTCGCTCCGCTATCCAGCAAAGCGGTGCAGGACGCTTGCCCAACTTGGATGCGGACATAAAGGAGTGGTGTGTTGTTGTCATCATACCGCTGCGTGCGAAACTCGCGGGCCACCTTGGTAACATACGCAAGGATGTCCCCCACCGCGACTTCGTCATCCATCGGCGAAGTTGGTGGTGCATAGAAGGATAAGTACGTGTGAAGATGAACGCATAGTGCTGCGCATTGCGGTCCCGGCAAGCGGCCCGTGGTCGGGAGAGGAAGCCATGCGAAATCCCCGGACGTGAGCGGGTCCAATACCTCTATGTTGAACTCGCGCACCGAATCCCGTGAAGAACCACTTGAAGACGATAAGTCGCCGCTGCCGGATGGAGAAGATGCTGCACATACGTCTTGTCCTTGAGCATGAGAACCCAGTGTAGGAACGAGCCGGGCAACATAGTCCTCATAAAACAGGAGGACTATCAACTTCCGCATGTGCCTCGTGACGAAGGGCGGTCACCCGCGAAGCGACCGGTTCCGAAGACGTCGAGAGTGTCGTCGAGTCACTCCCGGCGGTGCTCAGTTTCCCGATTGGCCATAGTGGGTCCATGGGGCTGAAGCTGCTGCGCCGGGACCGGGGATAAATGTGGTGTTTGTCTTCATCTTGCCGCGTCCTCGGCCTTTGCCGGGGCGGCCACCATCCCGGGCGGCTGCGAGTCTGTCCCCTTCATTGGCAGGCACGGCCTCACTAGATTGGTCGGTTGGCGTTGCCGCCGCGACCACGGCCGCTTTCGGCCGATGCTGATCTCTGCTCGGGCCTGATAGGCCTCGTCCGTTTCCCCGGACTTCTGATACATGCTGGCTGTTTGTAAGCGCATGAGCATTAATCAGGCCGGAGGACTGCTGTCGTGGCACTCCCTGCTGCTGACGTGGCACTGTTCGGCTGCTGTGGCCTGCTGACGTGGTCTGCTGACGTTGCAACTGCTGGCGTGGTCTGCTGACGTGGCAACTCACCAATGCCGCGGCAAGGGGTACCCGGAGACAGATAGAGAAGGTAAGACCAGAGGTGGCAACAACATAGGTGGGGAGGGGTGGGTGGGATAAGTGCCCAGATAAGGAGCCACTAATCAAAAAGAAAAGTTTGAACTTTGCAAAAAAATTTCAAGAAAAATAAAAATCCGGAGTTTTGCAAGTTCAGTAGGTCTCCCAACCTCTCTTGAAGTGCGAAAGTATCCATGAGAAAAACAAATTCGAACTTCAGACTGCCAATGACGATCAGATAGTGAAAATCATAGAACTGCGAAAATAAAAAAAATTCCGAAAAGAAATAACAAGTCTTCGGATTTACTCAGATGAGATCATGAGAGTATTCACAGTTTGGAAAATGGTAATGCAAGAGGGATTTTCGTACCGTTAAAAAAAAAAAACGAATTTCGAAAGAAAATATTTCGAATTTCTGAATAACGGGAAATTGCAAAAGGAGATCGAAATTTTCGAGAAAAAGATATTCCAGATTTCCAACAACAAAATTTCGGATTTTCAGAAGAAAAATGAAAACAGAAATTTCAGATGTTGCGCTGTTGCGATTTTCCACAACAGAAATAGCGAGAACACGAAATCCTAGAAAAGAAAAAAATTTCGATTTTCGGCAGTGAGGTCAAAATCGTGATTTTGGGGGCTAACTAGTGTGCTCTAATCAATCAATCAAGAATAATCAGCTACCTAGTCCCCGCACACGTGTCAGATCAGGTTGTCCTGATTCACGTGCGGTGCTCCGATACCAACTGTTACATGCCCTGTTGGGCGATGTACATATAAACCGAGGATCCGCAATGTGATAAAAAGGACTGAATGGACAATGCAGTGCAAGTGGAATCTCAACAAGCAATGTGCATTCCGATACATACAAAAATGGTGCTTTATAGCGCAGGGAAGACTTTAGATACAAGTCCTGACCTGACCGGGACTGACCCCCTTTCACATAGTACAAGATAGCGAAGCAGAATGCTGGAATACTAATGACTAGCCCAATCAATGTTCAACGCAGACAAAACATACATCATGCTCATCACAAGGTGTGAAGGGGCCTGGCGCTATACACAGGAAAGAAGCGCCAGGTCCAGACATACACAGACGAAGATGAGGGGATCAGACGAAGAAGAGGAAGGGGGAGATGGGAAAGTCGTCAACACCAAGTCTCGTTACAAGTCCCAAATAATCCCTCTTCAAAATGTCTGAAGTCCAATGTCGAGTCTGGATCCAAATGTCACCAAGCTCTCTCTCTCTCTCTCTCTCTCTCTCTCTCTCTCTTAGTCTGCTGATGCAGTGAAGTCAGATAGCGAGAGGGTGAGAAGGAGATGGTGGACTGAGAAGAGGAAGAAGAAGAACTCTCTCTCTCATATGTGTCAGGTACTAACCTGTGAAGATGGCGCTGTGCTGCAGGTACCTCGAAGACGAAGCTGGAGCAACGGCGCTGCAGGTAAGTATCCCTGGCCTCCGCCCAATCTCTCTCTCTAGTACTACTCTAGCTATGGCGCCCAGAGCTGAGGACTACAACTAACACTACTAGCGCCCAGCGCTGAAGACTACTGCTAACTCTACAACTACTCCTGCAGCGCTCCTCCTGAAGACTACTGACTGCCTCCTGCCTTGCACGTGAAGTGCCTGGGAAGTACCTAGGAACTACCTCCCAACTACCCGCAGCCTGCAGGGCGGGCCAGTCTTATATAGTGCTGGCCCGTCCAGGAGGCTGCTCTTGCCAATGCCAAAACGTGCCAGACCCTGGGGTTGAAGCTCGAACAAAGGTTGTCTTGAAAAAATAGGCCAAAAATGGCCTGAGCTAAAACCCTGGTCTGGTGCTCGAGTTTCAGGGCAGGTCGAACTGATGAGGGCCTGAAAATGGCCCTCAGTTCAGGCTGAAAATTCTCAGGGCCGGAAAGTCCCTGATTTAGCCTGGAACGACACAGGGCGTGTAGGCCCTTGTTTTCAGGCCTTCAGGCTGAAACGATACGGGGCCTGTAGGCCCTTGCTTTCAGGCTTTCAGGCTGAAAACAACACGGGGCCTATAGGCCCTTGTTTTCAGGCTTTCAGGCTGAAAACAACGCGGGCCTGAAAATGGCCCGTGCAGCCTGTTGCAGGCACAGCATGTAAGACGATGTAGCAGCGCTTCCGCATGGCTTACGCAGCAAATGAATGAATGGCTGGGCACTGCCTCTTGATTTATACGTCTGTAACTCGTTGGTCTGCCCCCTTTCCACCGGGCCCATGGTGCACACAGTCCCTCATGGTATTTGCTGACTATGCAAAGTGAGACTGGGACTGGGTACCGCTGACTCATCGAAGTTGGGACTCCACCACTTGCCCACTTGCCTTTGCCTAAACGTGAGACACTTTCGAAAGGCCACTTCCGGACCTTTCGGAAGTCTGTGGACTTGGCCTTTCGAGTACTGTAGCAGCTACGACCTTGGCCTTTCAGGACTGTAGCAGCTACGACCTTGACCTCTCAGAAGACCTACAGCTACGACCTCTACAGAGCTGTGACCCGTACTTGACAGACCTACAGATCGAACCCCTACAACTACACAGACCTACGGCAGACAACAATCAACTACGAAAACACAGGTCACGGGTTCAAACACTCGGGGGTCAACTCGATACTGTACATGGGCAAGGTAAGGTCTGGGGATCGAACTCTAGGGCCCGCATCTGTGACTGCAGAGAGGTGAAAACCGTTTCATATGGCCATCTCCTGCTCATATTCTGCTATTCTGAATATTTCTTTCTTTCTTTTTTCTTTTTTCTTTTTTGCTAGGCTACCAGCCGGGCCGCCCGGGTCCCAGGGGGCCAGCCCGCGCAAGGACCAGGGAAGGTCCCAGCAGAAAAAAAAAAAAAAAAAAAAAAAAATTCGGAAAAAAACTATGTTATGCTGAAAAATAAACGGAACAACTTTTGCCTCAGGGTCACATCGAAATTCTTCAACAAATTTAGAATAAAAAATAAAATTTAAAAATATATTTTTTGACCCGGCCGGGCAAGTGACCCCGGGCCACTCTGGTAGCCTCAAAAGTTGAAGAAGAGAAATAGCCTCTTTATGTTTGAAAGGGCAAAGTTAACTTGCTGAGAATGCAAAGGGCAAAGTTAACTTGCTGAGAATGCACCTGGGCCTCTCCGCCCAGGTGGAGATCATGCACTTGTGTCCCTTTAAATCCAGGTTGATTCCCACCGGGCTAGCTTTTGCATTTGCAAGCCTGAGCAGGCCGGTTACATACTTTCCCTTCGCAAACTTGTGGGTTTCCGGGGACAGTCAGGGCCAACCAATACTGACCTGAGATGGCCGTTCTTGCTTGTGTGACCTGTTGGAGCAGGCCTCACGGCGGCTGCTTTCGCTCAAGAAAATCAGCAAAGATGGCTGCCGAAAGAACAAACCAGTCCACCTCCCTGAAGAGATCCGTTCCCTCGTCCGCGAGTGCTCAGCAGGAGGCCATAAAGAAGAAGGAGAACCTTCACGGAAAAGGAATGTCGGCGGCGCAAATGGTAACGAGCAAGAAACCTGCTGATAAACGAAACAGTGCTGATGGGAGAGGAGTCGACAACCTTGCCTTATTTGTATGTGAGCTCTGTGGGAAAGAGTTCAGCAATTTTGGCTCCTGGTCTGGCCATCGGAGCATGCACAGCAAAGAACTTGCTGAACGACGAGAAAGTGGTGCAGCTACTTCTTCTACTTCTGCCGCTCCGAAGCAAGAGCGTTTGTTCTTTTGCCTTGTTTGTGAGAAGTTGCGGTTTGAAAACGCACAAACACTTGTCACCCACCTCCGAGAAAAGCACAACTGGTCTGCAAACCGGTCAACACCGGAAGCAACAGGGAAGAAGAGAGGGACTTACTATGGGAATGGGAATGGGAATGGCACAGCAGCAGCAGGAGGAAAGGAGGGGAGGACGCTATCTACAAGCAAGAAGTCTGCTCAACCCAACAAAGTGTGTGAGTCAATTCGGGCCATAAAGCAAGAGCTTGATGCATTTCCTATTCAAGAGGAGGCAAGTGCACAAAGAAATCAAGGACGTGACTCTAGCAATCGCAATCAGGCAGCCTGCAATGCAGAGAATGGATCAAAGCCCAAAGGAGGAAAGGAGCGTGAAACGAGGTAAACAGAGCAAGGCTTCTTGTTGCTCTTATGAGCTTCTCGTCTACTAGCCTATGTATGTTCTCTTGATGTATGTGAACCATACTTGTGGTGCACCGTGTTCACATGGGGGATGCATGCGCACCGTGCGCACCGCGCAAACTGCACGTGCATGGACAGTGCCTATGTGTGACTGCCAATGCACACGCAGTTTGCAAACTGGCGAACTGCGAGTGCATGGGCACCGCACAAACTTTCAGAAGTACCCATTGGAACGGCAGACGCCACACTCATAAAACGAATGTACCTTTCTTGAATTCTTGTCTGCGAACAATCAATATGGCGAAGCACCCGTGAAACGCACACACACACACACACACACACACACACACACACACACACACACACACACACACACACACACACACACACACAGATCTCAACTGTGCTTGATTGTCTGCAATAGGGTTAAATCTGCGTCGATTTTGGTTCTACTCATCTGGGTGGATTAGAGGTTGTTGTGGTGAAAATTCGAAACACGCGCACACAGATCGAGCGCCGCCCCAAATATTTTTCCGTTGTCAACTTTTGGTTTTACAGGGTGAGGGGTCGGGTGTGCTACCACATTTGCCCCTCACCCTTCTTTTTTTCAACCCCTATTTTTGGCCGTGCGCCCCAGCACGTGCGCATACATGCATGCGCGTGCGGTATGCACCACTTGTGCACCCATCACATATGCGAGATGCACTGCAAGTACGATGCAAACTACTTGTTTGCACATCTATGCAGTATGTTTGCATGCTGTACCATTTGCCCTCATTGTTCGTAGCGCTTACCGACCTCTTGCTATGCTGATCAGTTCAGGACACCCAGGTACATTTGGTGGATTATGCTCCTGCTGCCATGGTAGTGATGCATATAGATATTATAGAATTGTTGCTATGCTGAGGTGCTCTCAACATCCATGATTCCATGTGCTTTGATGTATTATGCTTGTCCTGTGCACAATGAGGAACAGTTCACTTGCCCAGGAAGGAAAAAAAAAAAAAAAAAAGAGAGATATCACATGTTATGATGCTGTGGCATACTGCGTAGCCACACGGGCCCTGCAGGGCCCGTCCCGGACATTCAGCCTAAAAGCCTAAAACTTAGGGCTTACATGCCCCGTTTGTTTCAGCCTGGATGCTGAAAAACGAGGGCCTGCAGGCCCTACCCCGTTTCAGCCTATTTCTGGGTCTTTTCAGACCCAGAGTTTTCAGCCTGAAACGGAGGGCCATTTTCAGGCCCTCATTGTTTCGACCTGCCCCTAAGACTCAGGCACGTAAACAGGGATGCGGAACTGGCCAGAAATAGCCTGTTCCTCACGAGTTTGAGCAGGAGCTGCAGCTGCAGCCCCTGCCCCCCTTCGGCAGGCTCAGGAGGCACACCCGTAATACATAGGAAGTTCCCATGCACTTCACGGGTAGGTAGTGTCAGTAGGCACGGGTAGTCTTCAGGATTCGGCCGCAGCTCTCAGGAGGAGCACTGCAGTAGTCTTCGGCGCTGGGCGCCATAGCTGTAGCTGTAGTCTTCGGCGTTGGGCGCTGGTAGGTGGTAGATCGTAGAGTGGGAGAGAGAGGCTGGCGGACGCCAGCGATACTTACCTGTGGCGCCATCGCTCCAGCTCCATCTTCGTGGTACCTGCATCAAGGCGCCAACTTCACAGGTTAGTACTGGACACAGAGAGAGAGAGAGAGTTCTTCTTCTTCCTCTT